ATTTGCGCTGCTTTCTGGCATTTTTGTATACCCTGTAAATGCAGTGATAGCTGAAGGGGGCCGTATGACTACCATAGAAGAAATGTAACACTTGAGCTAAGTTGCCTAGAAATACAAAAATTATTTATCAAGATGTGTAAAATCGTATACCCTGTTAACTAATGATAGTTCATGTAGGGTATATACAAATAATTTTTTTTTAATTTTTCCTATTGAAAGGCCAAAAAGTGATTGGCTGGCTATGTGCATACCCTGTAAAAATAGCAGTAAATACAGGGTATATGCCCTCAAAGATTTTACTTGCCCATTGAAATGGTTTAAATAAGTTATTTGGCTATATGCATATCCTGTAAAGCAATGGTAGCGAATGCTGGGTGTATCAGGAGTCTGAGGTAATGTGACACACTTGGGCTAACTTATATTAAAACCGTTAAGTTGCTCATGAGATTGGAAAAAAGTTTATGCTCGACAATTTACACACTCTGTAAAGCAATAGCAGCACATTTAGGGTATATTGGGCACATAAACTAATTTGTGACAGTAATACAAAATATTGGCAGCAGCCATGTAAATTGCCACTCGAATACCCTGTAATCACTGAAATATAATATATATATTAATGAGCTTCTGCCAGAGCGCCAAAGGCTATGAAAATATCAATTAAAATTTTGAGCAGACAAAAGTTGATGGAAAATATGGCTTGCCCACGAATGCTATACCCTGTACTTGACAAAAAACTAAAGAAAGTTGTAAAATTTACCGTGTAGGGTATATTAGCAACTGATGCTTGTGATTATAGGAAAAATGAAAATTTTTAAATAATATGAAAATTTTCAGCTTAGCTGCTTACAGGGTATTACTTAGTGTATACGCGCATGTCTTTTTTTTGCTGCTTTCAAAAGTTGTCCACTAAAATCTGTGACGCATTTGACTCGATGAGCCGAGACGAACAGCTATACACAAAAAAAAAACAAAAAAAAGAAAATGCGAGAAAAATGAACTGTGCCTTATTTTCGGGGGGCATCTTTGTAACGGCTCTTTAAATGGTTTTATTGGCTCTCAAATTGGCTACGGGCTGAGCCGAATCCGAAACAGAAACCGAAACTGGAACTGAAACAGAAGCAGAAACAGAACACTGAAATATTCTACATAAAGTAAAATTATATTGCGACGACCAGCTAAAATCTGGCAAAAACTTTGCATCGGACGATGCTTTTGAAGTTTTTGCGGGTGTACCGCAAAAGCGCTAGCGCTCCTGCCACTTCCACCCATATTTCCCTCATCTAAAAGTGAAAGTGAAAGTGAAAGTAAAGTGTAATTAGGTTTATTTTGTGTTGCGTCTGCAAATGAAATGCCTGGGCCGACAGGACGTTGCCAACAAAATAGCTAACGCTACGTAAAGAAAGAGAGAGAGAGAGAGAGAGAGAGAGAGTGGGAGAGAGATAGAGAGAGAGAGAGAAGCCAAAAGAGACAGGGCTTGCGGGTGTAGTTAGGGCCGTAAGGTAGCCTTCATTATTGGCTCAAGCGTTGCGAAGCCGTAAAATTTAATAGACTTTTAACTACAATTTCAATGGCACATGCAAATCCACATTTTGGTCCATCAAATTGGTTTACGGCCAAACAATAAATACGAAATTAGTTGAGAACTGTGAAAAGGACATCATGTCAAGGACTGCACATAAGCCAGCTTCACATTGACAGTCAATACTCTCAATTACATCCAAATAACAGATATCCAATAGATGTACTACTATATATTGATATATATATATATTGATATATATATATATATGTACATATCTGTGACAAATCTGTGTCTATTTCGATCAACTCTATGTGGGTAGGCGGCTTGTTTCATCTAGTCCGCGCCGTGACATGGTTATATACCAAAGGCTTTACGTTAAATAATACCCATGAAATGCTCTACAGCCATCGTATCGACTGTCAGTCATCAGCTGTCAGCTGGCCGTGCAGTCCGATGACTGTTTGATTGGTTGTCGATTGTTATCTGGCCATAAATAACTTAGCTGTCCCGTTACTTATATCAAAGATTATTAAAGACAATGCAAAAATGCCGCACCCCATTGAACAGTGTGGAAAAAGCAAAAACAACAACAGACAAATCAAATCCCACCGCCCCAATCAATGGACACATCCTAATCTTTCCATAAGCATTTGATGTGCCGCAAATAATTTGATTTGCATTCTGTTGTCCCAGTGGTTCGCATTGATTTGTCGTTAAACACTTATCCCCCTCCCCCCTCCCCCCTCGCCAACGCCCCAGCTCAGTCCACAGAGCAAACTATTCTAATACAGCTCAATTATCGAGTTCTTCCCTCTCACTTGACGATGGGACAAATATAAATCTGGGGCTCGATAGTAAAATATAAATCATGTTTATATTTATCAGAGCTTGTTTGAATAATTTATGAGAGACTTATCAATTTGCAGAGCTGACGCTTTTATTCTAATCGACCAAGGTCACAATGTGATTAGCGTATTAAAATTCTGAAGATTGACTGATTGATGAAATGAGTAATTGATCGTATAATTAACTGACAACGGAGCGTGTGATGTAATCCAATCTATCTTGATTGATTAACTGACTGAAAGCCTGGAATCTGCTGTGAAGGATATCTATATGTCTGAGTGATTGATTGATTGATTGATTAGAAGAATGATGCGCTGAGTGCTGGAAAATCATGTAAATTGATGATGATTCAATCTGCCTTAGTTGAGTGACTCACTGCGAATTGTTTGACTAAATAATTGACTGCTTGATTGATTGTTTCATGAATTGATTAATAGCTTGATTGATTGACTGGCAGCTCAGTGATTGATTGCCTAATTGTTGTAATATTTATTTGAATATGTCTTATTTATTTGCTGATGTGTTTAATTAACTAATTGATTGCCTATTTGTCTGTCTGATTGACGGACTGATTGATTGATCGGCAGATTCAGAGGCAAAAGGGATAGTTTTGACTGACGAATAACTGTGGATATGATGTCATAGGCTTATCTGCCTCTATTATCTACTGCAAACGTTAAATTTGTCTTGATTGACTGCTTAATAAGCTTCCCGACTGATTGATTGACTAACAACTCATATACGAAGCCTTGATGTTGAGCGAGACGTTGTTCGATCCCTTTTTCTAACCATACAAATTCTGTACAATTAATAAAAGTTTATCCTTCAGTAAACAATTGAGAATCTATTCATCTTTTGGCAATTCTCTAACAGTGCTCAGCGCACGATTCGAATGCCTCAAGTGAACAAGTCAAGTTGAAATTTGCCCCATGAATCTACTTAAAGAAGCTCAATTACTTGCATTTACTTAATGTAAAGCTCTGCTAAATTTAAGAAGAATAAGAAGAAACAAGAGAGATGGCGGGAAAAGCAGGAAAATAAATACCAAAGCTAATTTTAGGTAGTTAAGTAATCTGTGCAAAAATTTCCAAATAATTACGAGGCGTATCGATGACAGCTTCAAATTGGGCTGCCAAGCTATTTCCAATAAAAGCAGATTTCGCTGCTGGGCGAAACAAAAATAAAAAAGCACAGTGAATGATTGACTGACTGACTGACTGCCTGGCTGATTGACTGCGTGAGGGACTACTTTAAGCAGCGGAAAACATTAGCATAAACCTGGGCTATCATTTCCAAGTACGTTTGTGCATAAAGCAGCTACTCCTGCTGCTTCCACATGCTCCTCCTGCTGCTCAACCTTTTGCTGCTGCTCCCTGTTTTTATTGTTGTTGTGTCTAGTGTTTCGCCTGCTTTATTTTATTTATTTATTTATTTATTTTTTTTTTTGGTTTTTAGTTTTATTTTTCGTTTTATTTTTTTATATATATATATTTTTTTATATTTTATTCTCGCTTTTCTTTGCGTCTTTAGATGTGGCTGTGGCTGTGGGGAATAAGGTAAATATCAGCTGGCACGAGGACAACGTGGACTTTCGTCCTCGTCCGCGTCCTCGTCGCACGTCCTCGCTAAATCACAGGTGTGCGCCAGCAACAGCAACAGCAACAAAAGGACGTGCGAAATATAAGCACTCACACACTCACACACACACAGAGAGAGGGACTCTCGCTCCTGTTCACTCATACACATTTATAATTACTCACTTGCTCTCTCTTTCTCTCTCTCTTCCATACTTTCGCGCTATGTGTCGCTGGCAGCGCAGTCGCTGTGCCCTACACGAAGTCGGCTTTGCTCTCTTCTAGCCTTGAAAGCTTTAAAGCCGAAGGCAAAAAGCTTACGAAAGCTCATGCTCCTTGCTGTTGCCTGTTATACGGCCGCAGCAGCTGCATTTGTCGGCTTCGATTCAGTTGTTGCTTCACTTCAGTTCCGTTCAGTTCACTTCAATGATTGAGCTGTTCCCAAAGCCAAAGTCAAAGCCAAACAAATTGTAAAATATAACTTTTTTTTAAGAAAGTGAAGAATTATAATTTTAAGTTCATATTATTTTGTTTGAGTGTGTGAAAAATATTTTCAAAATTTAACAAGAAATATATTTTTTTTTTCAATAAAAAGAAAATATGATGAAAAAACAGAAACCAAAATTTGAAAAGTGTTCGACTTGAGATTTTAGGTACTTAAATAATAATATTCAGTAATATTAGTGTGGTTTATTAGAGAGAAATGGAGAGATAGAGAAAGAGAGAGTGTGAGTGAGTGTAATCGTTTCATATATTTATTTACAAATTTTGAAAATTGTTCAAATATATAATCCCTTTTTATGTTTACCATAAAAAATATGAGAAAATGTGAACAATGTATAGAAGTTGAAAACAAATTTGTAAAGTTTTAGTTTTTTATGTCGCAAATATAACAGTATAACAAAATATATAAGCAAAAAATGATTTCTACTTTAAAAAATTGTTTCAAAAATATTTCTGATTTCAAATATTCAACAGAATTGTTATAAACATATAACAATAATATGTATGAGGATCATTAGCACAGTTATTAAACTGTTATATGTAGAACAGTTGGGGGCCAAGCCATGCTATCTTATATGGCAGTGCAGCTAATTTCTGATAACGGATATTCCAAGAACGGTTTTTCAACAGCTTTTTTTCTTGACAACTATGCCAAAAGCTTTCCACACTGTTATTCGCTCTCTCTCACTGAATGTTCCTCTCTCGCTCTGACACATTGTGGTCCTCTCTGTCACACTCATTGAGTTGCTATTGCGCTGTTCGTTTGAGCGTCGCTCGTGCTTGGCTGGCGGCTTGGTTCGGCCCCTGGCACTTCGGCTCTGGCCGCTTCGGGTCGGTGTTCGGCTAGCGCCAGTTGCCAATGAACTGAAGCGTTTTGGGTATGCAAACTCATTTTAGCTTTTGAACTCATTCAGTTCAAATTTACCAGCGGATTTGTGCGGATTACAAAAGACACACAGAGGGACACAAACACACGCAAGACAAAGCACACAGACGCGTTCGCTCGCTAACACGGTAACAGCCACACGCACACACACGCACAACGACACACACACAGACACACACACTGAGTGTTAAAAAATAAATAAATTTTTGAAAATAATTTTAAAAAATTTAATACAAAATATCCGATATTAAAAAAAAAAAAAACATATTGAAAGCATTTTTGTTTTTCTTTTTTATTTGTTAAAAAAAAAAAGTATTTATCGCGTTTGTTTACAGTTGTTTTTTGTTAGAGATATTTGAAACTAATGTAAGTAAGACGATTTTTTTGATAAATTATTTTTTGGTGTACAGTGCGTATGTGTAATATTTGCCCCAAATTGGAATGCATGCCAATAAAAATAAATATACAAAAAATATATGATTAAAAATATATATACGAAATATTAAACAAAATGTAATGAATGCATATGTTAAATACAATCACAAAAGAAATTATAATAAAAGAAAAACCAAAAAAAATAGACAGCAGCAGCAAGAATCAACAATCGACGGCAACAACAACAACAACAAGTTGAGAACAACAAAAACAACAGCAATCAAGCCAGGCAAGTCTTTTAAGTAAAAAGCCTAACTGAGCGGCGGCTAAGCTGCGTATGAGTAATCTACACACACACATCAGCTCACACACACACACACCAGCACTTCACACACACACACACACACACACACACACAGCATGCACAAACATCAATTTTATTCGTGTTGCCTTTTGCTTTTTATGTGGTTTACATGTGTGTGCGAGTGTGTGTGAGTGTGTGTGAGTGTGTGCCAGTGTGTGTGGGTGTGTGTGTCGCAATGTCTTCTCTATAGTCAGCCCAATCTTATACAGCCTTTCAAACTCGTGTTCATTTGTCTGTCTGGCACAAGTGCTGTGTGTGCGAGTGTGTGTGTGTGTGTGCGTGTGTGTGTGTGTGTGTGCGTGTGTGCCTGTTTAGCCATTGTTGGGGTTAGCGCAAACAACAGAAATTAACAAAAGCAAAACACACACATGCACACATATTCGCACACACACACACACACATACACTCGCGCACACACAGCTTAAGAAATTCAAGTCAAGTGTTGCGGCAAATGCTTAAGTTCCTAGCGCTATCTCTCGCCCTATCGCTCTCTCTCTCTCTCTTTCTCTCGCCGTTACTGACATAGACACTTAGGCTTATATATAATATAGAATATATAATATACATATATATGTATATGTATATATTTATATCAGCTCTCTAAGCAAATTGTTGCTATAGCTACTTAATGCCAGCTGCCAGTTCGTGGAAGCAATTTTTATGACCCAAACAACTTGAATGAAATGTTATCTAATATGTTATTGCATATGTTTTAAATGCTATGTCAAAAATATAAACCTAAATACAGAGCCCATTTAATTGTTGTTGATATCATTTAAATATATTAAAAAAAAAAAAATATCTGTAATAATTCAAAAGTTTCTCGAAGCTTTGCAAAGAAAGTCAGCACACTCGTTCGCTCTCTCTCTCTGTCTCTCTCTCTCGCCCACTCACTCTCTCATCTCGATCAGTTTTGCAGCCTTTCATTCTATTCTGTATTTAAATTGTATTTTAAGCTCGTAAGCATTTAAATGGGCTTTATGCATATGCCCTGCTCCTGCTGCTGACAGCCAACAGTAAAGCACACAGCAACAACAACAACAACAAAAATGACATTTTAATTATGAAAAACCTTACACACACACACACACACACACATGAGCACACATACATTTTTCTTATATAGAATTCTTTTTCGCCCTTTCTCTCTCTCTCGTTTTCCCTGTCCATCTCTATTTGTCTTGTTCCATATGCGCTTACAACGTGAAAGGAGTCTATTAGTTGTGTGGTCATCAAATCGTCCACCTAGCTGTCTACTCCTAGCTATTTCAGTCTAGCCGCTTTGTAGCTGGAATTTTAAAAGCTTAAAATTTTAACTCATTAAGCTGCATAATGCTCGGATTAAGTCGAAATGCCCGCTGGGAGGCATGGCTATTCAGGAATCTAGAAGCATGATAGACTTGAAGCTTGACTGTTATCTCTACATCTCTCAGATAAATAATATAATATAATATATATGATACAAATAAATATCTTAAATATAATGTAAAATTTCGTATGGCTAAATTCAGGCACAGCTTAAAGCTATAGCTTCTCAGTTAGGATTAAATAAAGCAACCGAATTACATCTGTCTCAGTCTAACACTTTAAAGTCTCAATTGCAATTTGCACTTGAAGTGAAAAGCTAAGCAAATTTACAAATAGAAATATAAATTACCCATATATTAAGCATTATATGATATACCCTATAATATGATATACTTCGTTCGCATATTGAACAACGTAGTTTGGTTTTGTTTTCCTTTTTTTTTTTTTTTTTTTTTTTTTAACAGCTTTGCAGTCAGCTGTTGTGAGCTACAAAATGAATGAGAGAGCTTGGGGCAATTTAGCTAGTCGAGCATATGTTTTAGTCAACTGCAAATGGCTGAAAGTTGAGCCATGATAAATGAAGCGCGTATGCGAGGTGTCCCCGAATAGTAGCGCAGATTGTGTCAATGTAACTTTATAAGGCTTCTCTCTCATTAATACCGACAAGTTCGGATATTTTGTTTGTGTTTCGACTAATTTTCGAATATTGTTTACTCAACAAAAACGAACTATTAAACTGTATCAAATCCACGCCCGACCGGATCAACTTTAAGTTGTTCATCTACCCAAACCTGAAGAGGTTCATGACGATTGAGAAGATAAAATGGGCAGCGAAGCGGAAAAGGGAACTACTTTGAAGTATGCTGAATAAATTGGATCAAGTTTGATATTTAGTTCTTTCATAATTCATATTCACCCTACTTTTGGAGCACACCTCGCATGAAATTTATGTATTTAGAAAGGAAATTTCACACGCTGCGAGTTTAGTTAAATGCGCTGCGCCTTAAAGTAGGCAGCAAAAAAAAAAAAAAAAAAAAGAAATTGATATCATAAATGTACAGCTAGCTGCAGTCATCGTTGAATGAGTGTGTGCGTGTGGGTGTGGGTGTGTGCGTGTGGCTGTGTGGGTGTGTGCGTGTGGCTGTGTGGGTGTGTAGGTGTGAATGGGTGTGTGTATGTGTAAGTGTGTGTGAAACACACAATTCATCATTATACGCTTTTTGGGGTCAACGCGTTGGGTCAGAGACACAAGGATGATGATGACGACAAGAGTGGGACAGAGAGAGGCAGAGAGAGAGAGAGAGAGAGAGAGAGAGAGAGTGTGTGTGTGTGAGAGAGAGCCTTGGGCCAATACAGCAAGCCTTTTTCTCTTCTTCTTCTTACTCGTCTGGTCGCATGTCATTTAATGTGCGCCTAAGTGAGGGCTATAAATTTTTTTATATGCATTTTAACGCATTTCAAGTTATGATTTTTACACGCACACACAGCCCACACATACACATACACACGCATAGCACACTCTACGCGTAAAAGTTTCATTTATTTAATGTAGATGAAAATGCATTTGGTAGGAAATATGAATGGTCAGAGCGGCCATTGGCTGAGGCCAGTTCTGGAATCATGTTTGTCTACAAAGAGAGAGAGAGAGAGAGAGAGAGACAGAGAAAGAATGTGTGTGTGTGTGTCAATTACTAAAATCGAAATAAAATGCTATTTCGTTTACTTAATTTTTAGTGTTTGTTTCAAGGCGCATAACTTAGGCCTTATGAGACTCTTTAGGTAGGTCAGGAATAACTTCATTTATGTCCATCCATATAAATCTATATTGGGTTGATTTCTCTTTCTAGTTTTAGTTTCTGTAGAAATTTGTTTCTCTTTTTGATTTCGAAATAATCTATAGCATTTCTAATGCTAGCTAATATGCGGCTTTTCAAACCAAACTTGGCACCTTTGAAGTCATTTCTGAACACCTACAGGGAAATCAACTCTGAGCTCTATCTTGGCGTTTCCGATGCAAACAAATATACAGGTTTACAAATAAGTCTTTATTCCTTTGAAGCACTCGCTTTAATAACAAGCATTTGCTTGTTATCTGAAGCAACTCTGTCTCTACAACCTGTTGGCATCAATGAAGCTGTGCGCCATGTAAATTCAAAGTTCCTAGAAAAGTAACGAGAGTTTTGCTATGACTTTTAGCCAGAAACTTGCGCTTTCCTGAGTTTCATTATCTCGCTCTGAGAACTAGCTTATGATAGTTTATTAAAAAAAGAAAAAAACATTCTATAATCAAGCTCCCATAGTAAAGTCTTAGCTGTGCCTCAACGTCAGCTGCGTAAAAAGCAGAGCGCTTGGTTGTACATAATACTTATAATGTATGTATAAGAGAATCGTAAAATGATTGGCATGGAAGCTCTTCGCTGAAAGTTCCGACAATAATAATTTCTGGGTAATGAATGCATCCACATGTTTATAGTTGAGTATATCAAATGCATTTTTTTTTAAGTTGTGGAGAAATCTAAGAAATACAAGATCTATGCATTCATCCAGCTCACCCATGCAAGTATCTCAGAAATTTCTAGCTATTGCGATATATAAATTATGATTGAAAGTCGAGTCAAATAATTGATTTTTATCGATAGTAAGGAAGAGGGATGGGTAATGAAAATTTCAAGACTCAAGGCAGGCGAAAGGACGGAGGATTGACAGACGGACGACCCGTTGACGTGGCTATATCAACAATATATATAGACTCTCTGAGTTTCTTTCAAAGCTTAGCTACAACACGAAACTGTTGTCGATTTATCGATAAGTCCTGCAAAAAAATCGATCGATTGAAATGCGCACGTTTTCATCGAAAATATTGTCAAATTCAATTTTGAATTCAGGAAAAAGCTTTCAATGTTTTCTTCAAATTGATTTTTCAATCAGCCATTTGGAGCGGCCAAGTGCCGTTGCTCCCTCATTAATTTGAATCGTAAATTGTGAAAAGCATTTCAACTATTGCGATAGTTTTTCGCCTTCGTCTAGCTCACCTGACCCAGTCACATTTACTTGCTGGCGAACAGGTGTATTCCCTGGCCAAAGCGCACACAAATACATACACACACACACGAATAGAGAGAGGGTTATGGCTAAGGCGAGCTTCTTTGGCTAAGCTGTGCATCTTAAGTATATGCATATACATGTCCTGATGCCGTACTTTAGCACCTATAAATTTTTATGCATACATATTAAAATGGAGCTGGATACAAATGCCTGTCAACTGGCTGGCGCACATGTAGCGGGATAGCTTGGGGCGCACTGGGATCCGGAGCTGGAGAATGCGGTTTCAACGGTTTCAAGTGTGCTTCAAAATTCCACTTTACTACTGACCGTGCACCGCTCCTGCCTCCTCCTCCTGTGTATCAGCCATGTCAGCCAGTCGTAAAATTATGGAAATTTTCTCTTTTGGCCCTTTTTTTTTTTTTTGAATGCTCGCTCATGAAAGTGAAAGGGGTATATTCGTTGTGTGCATCAAGTTGG